GTGACATTTTTACAAGATATTGTTATTGTGAAATTTTGTCTCCCCCTAAAAGTGTCTTCCACGGCGGGCCTACTACGCTGGGACATACTACGCCACGCCTCTAACACTTATGTTGGTATTTGGCATTTTACGGTCGGATTCATCTGACGTTTGCCGGCTAACTGTGCTTCTAGGCCTGAGCCGTGCCTTTATTTATTATATCCCACCCCCACCCCAAGAGACATATGGCGAACTTGGTGTATTCTCTCTACCGTGACCAGCATACATACTTCACCTGCCTGAACTTTCCTTTCGTCACATAACTATAAAAACTGACGATTTGTAATCGAAAGCTTGAGCTTCTTTTTTGCTCCGGCCGAGAATTGAACCCGGGGCCACTGTATAGAAAGACACGCTTCCCATGAGCCACCCGAGGGGCCCAGTTGTCAGGAGTAATTAATTGCTCTTCGCCTCTTTTAATTGCTTAATTCCTTAATAGCTCAAGGTTAATTGAACAATGAGTATATACTAAGGAAACTATAAGACGAATACAAGAGATAAGGCTTAGTTACAAATTTTAGTAAGAGCAAATCCACGGGTATTGGAAGAACTGTGATGGAGGTAGCAAATGCTGATGCAATTAAATCTTGTAACATTACTCGCTCAGAAACTCAGAAATACGTAACATTGTCATCTGTGATGAAGGTATTAACTTCACAATAATAATAGGGAAGAAAGCAACGAAAGATCTGCATAATGTAAAATAGAATGACAGTATCCGACAAGAAATACAGAAAAGATTACCCCATAGCGTGGGCGAAAATATAGTGCCTTATAGAGGATACAAATGTCCCCAAAATTAAAAAAAAAAAATTATGAAATATGTCCCGAATAAGATATGATATGGTGTTTCAGATCGTGATACGATAGTCAACGCGGCCTCGCATTGACGTGATTACTCGTCTTAACACTTCATAATGAACACTTCGGTCCGGGAAATGATGTTTTTATTTGTTTCTTTATTTAAAATGAATGCCATTGAAATCAAATCACTTACAATTTATTTCAACATTTTTGTGTAGTAATTTTGTTTTCGAAATTGTGTTCGAGACCCGGTTCAACTTTTTCACTGCTATGTTTGATGTTATTCAAGCCCTTTCGTCACCATCTTCAGTTTTGAAAAACCAGAACGTGCAGTAATTAAGATCCGCCGTATGTGTAAAATATTCAAGCGCACAGAAAATTTTCTTTGCCAAACACACAGTGGCCAATCTTCGACTTTCGAGCCGGTAAAATCCATTCTGAGACCAAGTATCTTGTTCTCGGTGTTGGAGCCGGACACGACGAATCGTGCCCCGCAAACTATTTAAATCACCTCAATTATATTCGGATTTTATGGCTTGACCTTCCGGGGCGAATTCTGACATTGATACTCATAGAATAGAAAGAAAATCCTTAGAAATGACTTTAAATGATTTTCCTTCATGGCTACTTTGTGTTTTTATTTTCCTTTTTCGGTCTCGACCATCCCGCAGCCCAGTCCGATATGCTAAACTCTCTTACATCGTATTGTAATACATCTTTGGCCCTGCTACATCTTGGACGTTGCATCATGTTGGGGCTTACTACAACTTGTTCATCTGGGACGTTTCCTCTCCGACTGACTTCCTGTCAAACATTTCCTCTCTGACTAGCTGAGTTAGCTCGGAGCCAACACTACCTCTCTCCGCAGCGCCTCTGACCTGCATATAGAGGAGCTGACAAAGTTCGCTTTTTGCTAATGAACATGTAGTGGGAAATATCACCTACAGATGTTCGTCACAGTGCACAGATGTTCGTCAGGTCCGTGTGCATAAGGATATAGTAAACATTAGGGGATAATGACATATGTAATTTAATTATGTGAAACTTTCAACTCCATGTTCATTGCGCTTCTAGTCCGAAAAACTCGTATTGTTGGTCCTTGATGTAGAAAAAATTGAAAATATTGTTCATGTTTTAGATTACTTCTTCTTAAACATGTTCTCATAAACCACATTTTTTGGGTCTTTGATAACGAACATTTGGTTTACGGCAAAACATCTGTCCGTCTGTCCTACGACTGTAGTCAAGGACAGCCTAAACCATTCAGGTGATTTTCTCCAAAAATTGATATTCACCAATTAATCTGGCCGAGCTCCAGCTCCTTCCAATTTCAAACGGATACTTTGATTTTTGTTTGTGTACTACATGAAGTTTTAACAATATTTTTAACCTTGTAGCAGAAACGACTCCGATTTTTAAATTCATTCTCCGATAGAGCGAAGAACGTTTTAAAACAATGAGGCAGGTTTTATTTTTCGTTGTAATCTCTGAATTTTCGAAAATTACAAAAGTTCAATATTTTTCAATCGTCTTCCTAGTCCTGTAATATCGAAGATGTACGTTCTTTCTTTAATACATTTTATTACTTACTGAAATATCTTAAAATAAAGTCGTGTATAATATGTCGAAAATTGAGTATTTTTCATATATTACTTTCAATGCAAACAATTAAAAATATTTCCACTGAAACAGGTGCATTTTTTTCACGAATAGATCAAAGTACGCTTATAAACGTTGCTCACTTTTTAACTGAACACTAAAAATTGCGGAAGTTACAAATAATGCGAGAAAGTTATGTGTTATATCATGTTTTAAATATCAAAGTTACCTCCACGTGATATTATCCCGCAAAGATTCCAGTTTCCCTGTGTTTTTCGGGCTTCGCAAATCACCTCATCCATGATCGTGATCGCAACGCGACGCGGAGAAGCAGAGTGCGCGCGTGGGGGAGCCTGTTGCCCAAGGCGAAAATAACCGCTTTCCTCGCGTGACCCCGCGCCGAGGGGGGTGGCCGGGGGTCTCCCAGACGCGCGCAGGGGCTCCGAGGGCGGAGCACCCGGTCGGGCGCATTTGTTTCAGCCCGGCTCGGGAAAGGATTTTCGGATGAACATGGGTTCATGGGTTCGGGTAAAAGTCGGTTGATCACTGACACACTTCAGGTTTTTCACCAGAGCAATGTGATATAAGAACTGTATATAATGTTAGTTTGCGCTGTTGTGTTTATTTATTCATATAATGTTGTTTGTTTCGATCTTTTTGGAAAAACAAATAGCGTGACAATTGGGAGTTGATTTTAGGCGATTAAATTTCGTTCGTTTTTGTGTAGATAGCTATTTCTTATTGAAGTCAAGTAAAATGGTAACAGAAGATCTTGACATGTTTAAGCATGCTTCTCGCTGCGGTTTATAAACTTGTTTCAATAAAACACAATGCTTGTTATTTCAGCTATAATGCTAAGTTGGATAACTGAAGTATTTTGTATTGTGCTACCTGTAATGTTGAATTCTGGCCACTTACGAAATCATCAGATGCGAACTGGTGCTTGAGGTTCCTCAAACATTTGTTGGCCCCACTCAGAAACTACTTAAGCCAAACTGGACACAACTCTTGGTCATGACCTTCGGGCTAATCTACTAAGCGTATGTTGAATACAATTAGCTGCGTTCAAAGGAAAACTTCGGTTCTTGTGGATATTGTTCGGAGAATAATGGCAGAACAACACAAGCATATAAGTTATAAATCAGCCAGTTGGTGGTTGATACATCGTCATATCCAGAGAGATTTGCTCATTGTTTTGTAATTAATTATACAATCTACTCAAATATACTACTGAATGGACTGAATTATACGAAATATTGTGTTTTTATTTGTAGAAACGCTTATCCATTGCATTCTCTCATGTCTCATGTGAAGTTCAGTGTTCGAGTCATTTGGGAGTTCAAAGACAATAAGTAAAAAAATGCTAATGTTAAATGATTTTGAAATGGACGTGTTTTCCTGTCTAGAATATACTTTGTAGAAAATGCCAGGCTAGTTAGAATATTGCTGACCTTTCCCCATGAATGTGAAAAAAAAAATATTAAGACCCCGCTCACTCTGCAATGAGACTTGTCGGTCGTAGAATGATTGTACAAAAATCGAAGTATTCCGCTATTTTGAAAGGCGGAAATAACTTTTCCCAGACGTTGGGTTTAGTAGATTGATGGGAAAATACCAATCGAACTGATACAGGCTTGGAACGCCGAACGCTTCTCAACTCTTGCAAAAGTTTCAAATTTTGATGTGACACATGAATCACCGTGAACAGAATAAAAGGCCTGAGATAAAGGTCGCTTTAGATGTGCGTGGCGTACTCCACTAGCAACGCATTGATTACTAGCGTGATAAATTGCCGTGATAAATTGTTGAAATTAATATAAAGTTAATTGATACACTAGCAACACGATTCATTAAGAAACTCCGTTCCTTATGAATCACAATGGATAGCATGCGACTTACCCCACTTTATTTTGCCGATTGCGTTGACGAGCCAGCGTACCTCGCTTGTTGTAAATACTAACTTGGCTGCTTAATATCGTCGTGCTGTTACTGAACGCTCCTTTTTAATTTAGGGTTTTAAAATATTTCTTGCGAGTACGAACAGAATTTGAGACAACAGACTTGTAATACAAAGAATTTTAGACTACTGCCCTTAATATATTATTAAGTGATTTGTGTACTTGAATTACTCGATATATCGCCCTTGTGTCGCTCAATTTGCGAAATAACATATGACTTTTGCCAGTCGTATCATAAACCACAAGTATATGCTTCATCACTTGCTTGCTACTAAGATCTGCCCATCCAACTCAGCCACCCATCTGCACGTGCAGAAGAATGCTACTCCGACAGTATCGATCAGGTCTCGTATCCAAATGCGATCGCTCTGTCTGTATTAGGTGTTTTGTTCCACTTTCCCAAATCCTTGATGGATGCCGGCCTTTAAGAGTAACTTTTCATTTTTCATTGGGGTCGCGTTATGTCTTAATAACTTTCCAGTCTTACAAAAAGTTTAATAAATCTTACTTGCTCTTTTCGTTACTTCCTCCATAAGGAGGTGATTTGCTCATTCAAGTTTCTTCCCATCTGTACTTGCAGAAGAATACAACTCCAGCAGAATGGATCCGGTGACGTATACAAGTGCAATCGGTGTACCTGTATGACGTATTTTGTTCCAGCCACTTTGTTCCCAAAATCCTGAAGGCATGCCGGCCGTTAGGAATGCCTTTTTATTCTTCATTTTGGTAGCGTTGTTTGTCCAAATGCGCCCGCTGTATGTGCATGAAGTAGTTTTCTGTATGTGTGTGTAGTAGTGGGCGTGGAATGGCTGGCTGACGTGTGCGCGTGTGTGTTGCAGGAGGCACCATGTCGTCCGTAAAGGTGGCGGTGCGCGTGCGGCCCTTCAACAACAGGGAGATCTCGCGCGACTGCAAGTGCATCATCGAGATGGGCGGCAACACCACCTGTGAGTACCTCTTTCAAGACTTTTCTCATCCTGACTCGCTTTTCCACATAGCGCCTCATCCAACCTCGTCGCGCCTCGGCGTAGCCTCTCTCACCCCGCCTAACCTCTGCTCACCACGCCTCATCTTACTTCTCTCCTCTATCTCGCCTCCCCACTCCTCTTTCCCGATCTCACCCCTTTCCCCTTGTCTCTCCCCTGTACCTCTGGAAGAGGTGGTTCAGCCTCAGCTGAAACGCAGAGGCATCAACTGATGTCTCTGCAGTCCCTCTGACGGGAAGGTCCGAGGTTCGTGTCCCGACGGTGGCAGGACTTTCAACTCTAGCTTGTCAGCTGGATCGAAATGCAGTCGCTGTCTGGAGGAGAACTCTAGCGGAAAGCTGCTCTGGGTTTTTCGTGGTTTCCTCGATCAACACCCAGCGAATGCCGGCGCAGTATCCTAACAAACGGGCCATGGACAGCGCGCGATCTTTCCTTCCTCTTCCTTGTCCTGTCCTCACTCCTTACTTACAGACACACTAACATGCACATCACTACCGCACATGCCGGGAGACCGCTCGGCAGCTTAGAGCCTTGCCCGGCTGGGGCTGTTCCTCGCTGTTGGGAGATATCTGGTTGAGGGAAACCACGCTAGCCGACGGTAGGTCGGCGTTGTATCATACTATGCAATGGGGGAAAACAGCAGCCACCCGCCCAGTAAAAATCATGCACTGCACTTCTGAGACTAATGACCCTAGTAGTTGACCCTCCCGGATTCACTAACAATCAACGCAATCCTGTCCCAACCCCTCTCCTCTTTTCTCCCTCCTTTCCTCTCCTGTCCCCTCTACATTTTTCTCCCCTTCTCTCTTTCCTCGCCTCGTTTCACCTCATCCTGTCGCAGTCGTTGTTTCAGGTGATGAGCCCACCTCCCCATACCCACATTATTTTCATTAGTTTGTGGTAATCATAGGTTGCTTCAGATATCAAAACAAAGGAACCGCTAATTGTGAAAGTGGGTGGTTTGAAATAACGTTCTTTTAATTTTCGTCGGAAGCGCCGCCAGCGAAATGAAACATTTATAATGACTGTTTTTCACAATAAGTCCAGTGTTAAACAATATTTACCTCCTAATGGAAAATACCTCAAAATGCAGTATTTTTGTCTAATACATTTACTGTCAAAAAAAAATTATTTCTGACTAAAATGTATGTGTGAGGACTGGTAAAGAAAATTCTGTTACGAGTAAAATATCTGTTCCTCTGAACCGTCGGTAAACCCAGAGATCATAGTAACTTGTCACGGCCGCAGGGGCGAGATACTACATTCCAGTGCAACGAACACAAGTGTCGGACTGGTTGCCGTCTTCGACGTCGCAGGCGCCAGGAACTCGCGAAATCATGTCAGTCGAAGTTGTCAAACCGGTTCAGCTGTGCTCATTGCTTATTCGGTGTGATTCACGAAAGATATTCCACACTATGATAAAGTATCAAACTACAAGACAAGTAAATTTGTTTGTTACGTAATGCTATTTGGTGTTATATTGGAAAAAACTCGTTGTTCAACCAGTCGTAATCTGTAAAATTTCGCCATGAAATGTTCGAATGTTCGTGTGTTACATCTTCAAATTTCATGTACACATTTATGCACACTGTAAAAGCAGCTGTCATTTGTAAGAACGAATTTATTGTTATATTTATTGGCGAGTGATTTGATTTTCTGGAATTTCTGAAGATTGTCGAAATATTTTCAACTGTTGCAAAAGTTAATAAGTGTAATGTAAAACAATATTTTTTATAAATCTGAAGAATCGCTTTGGATGAAATTAGTCCTTATAATAAGTATCCTCTGGACAGGATAGAAATTATTTGCACTACCTCTCAGGATCGACTGGAAGAGATCACAATATATGATTCACCTATATTTGATTTCCCTTTTCCAGCAGATAATCTTTACTCTCTGATCATAAACGCTGGTGGTGGCTTTCAACTTTCATGTTATCTCGTGGATATTTGAACGTGAGTGTCGTGGAAGGTCTCAGGAACTCGTGTAAAACAGGCTAATATTTATTTGCATTCTTTTTCTCTCCATTGTTTAACACTATGCTGTCCCGGTATTTCGCTTTCTTATATTTACACAATGTTTCATTAGTAATGAGACGCACCGAGAAGCTTCGTTACAGAAGTAAGATTGATTACAGATTTCCTGAATTACGACATTCTCGCCACGTGTTGCGGAAATTATAGTCATTTTAGATACAGTATTTCGCGTCTTCGTACAACTTGCGCTGAAGAGGACTCAAAAAGTCTTATCTTTCGTATATTTGTTAAGCAAATTCTGAATAAAACATCAGAATTCTCGGATTCTGAATCCCGTTTTTAGACCGATCATTTCATTAAAGTTTCTAGATAGTAGTGGTAGTCTTTCTGTGTCGAAATACAATTTTACATCGAATGCGAAGGAAGGATTGGTAGTTTTCGAAAGCGAACTATCACGATATGTCACTTGACCTAGATTCTTAGCATTTAATCTCATTCTTAAGAGGTCAAGATTTTATGAAGAGGCCCACATCTGTACGTTGATCAACTGTCCAATTATCTCTCTGCACCAAATTATTCAAGTGTTTCTGCGGTCCTGATGCCATAGTTGGCAACAAATTCCATTTATCGTCAAGTCACGTATGATACCCTTAGAGATGTATTAAGCGCAGACGTTCAAAAGTGGATTCGTTTTGTATACGAAATAGTGCTTCACTCTGTGCAAAAATGTCCTGCAGTCAAATCAGGTCAAATGACCATTTCTATTAAGCGTTCACTTCTATTAACTGCCATTTTTCATGAAATTGATTGCACTTTCCATAAGAAATGTGCAAATACTGTCTTTTAGATGCTACCTTGCCTCGTCGCGAGTAGCCGCACACACTTCCTAGACCAGGCATGTCCAACCGCGCCCGCACGATTTGCCCGCCTGGGACGTCGAGTGCTCTTGCAAGCACGTTCAATTTCCTCTAGCTCCGCTCTCATTTCCCCTTCAATACAGAGAGGGCGTAATAATGTAAGGGCAATGTGTGCTCGATGTGTCATGAAAAATATGGTTTTCATACGAAAAATCTTCGCCTGATATTTTCCATTAAACAATCGATTTGAACTATGTTCATACATTTAACTCCTTATTAATTAATTTTATGTTATATCGTCTTCGTAAATTCTGCTTTGCTTATCACATTTTTTCATCATTTCCCAAAGGGCAGAAATATAAATGGCAATTCTTTCCTTGTTTTCGTTTTGTTTCATGTTTTATTAATTCAGCCAGTCATCGTATAGCAATGATATGAAATAAATTAACAAATCTCTACAAATTAATTCTTAATTACGGATGTAGCTCTTTTCATTGGCAAGAATCATTGTTAAAATTCTAACCTAAACAAAAGTAGTTAATGATTGTACCCTTAAGTAATCGCGATTACGAAATCAAGTTCCTGCCGATTGGAAAATTTTACTCTCATTCGACAATTTACAATGTCACTGATGAATTTCATTTTAATGATTCGTTTCTTTGCATTAGTGGAGAAATGGTAGATCGCTTTTGGTGCAATTCTCCAAAAGAGACTGTTATGGGCCAGGTATTCTTCGATGTACCCCCATATTGGAATTTTGTTCAGCCCTTACTTTTAAATGTCGCACCAGTTGCTCTGGACGAAGTGCTCGTGAACACTAGTAAGATAGTTAACTTCCCTGCGACCTTGACGCTTCTGTTACAGATATACTTGTATTAAGGGCTCGCCTCTAGGGACTTTGAATTATAGTGGAATTAAAAGCGGAAGAGCGGTGGAAATTACTGTTATCTTCCTGTGACGAGATTTACTTTTTTACTCGGATTACTTAGAACAGTGACATCCTGAGTGCCTTATCTTGCAAAGGGTTAATTTCGTCGTAGATAGCAAGATATGATTTTAATTAATGTCCCTTTATGAAATCGTGCGTGGTCCGTTGTAATGCCACGCGGTTTGTTAACCTCTGCTTCTCGCTCCTCTCATTGCTCTGTTCCTTGGCAACCACGGGCTTTAGGTAATTTTTAAAAAAAATAAACATATTTTATTTCAGAGTAATTAGATGTATTTAGTATTCCTATAACCTCATAACTTCAATTATCTGCCAATGTTTGTCGGAACCATATGTTGCCGTTCAAGATACATGTTTACTGTGTTGTGAGCGCCATGTTGTCGTGGTATTGGAGGCACCACCGAAACGACCATGACTGGCAACGAGAGAATTGTGTAGCTGTGAAGTCACGGCATTTATTCCAATCGCTTTCTGAAAACTGTCGTGTTCAGTATTCACTCACTTTCTGGAAAACCGGGAAGGATCAGGGGATTTCATTGCTCTGGAAAAATCAGAAAATTAGTAAAAAAACATTTTCCAAGTCATTTCAAATTTTGAGATGATTATAAAACTAGATATTATTCCTAAAAAATGGTACAGATTTATTTTTTACTCAACTTCTATTCAATGAGTTTTTTAATTGTACTTTAACACGGCGAAATCAGAGAGCGAACAAATTAGTTTCGGGCATTCTTTAATATTTTTTAAAAAAAATAGTTTGAAATATTTTACACATTTAATCAGTGGAAATTTTCAAAAGTGCTGTTTAAAACCAGGGAAAGTCAGAGAAATTAGGTAGACACCGTGGCATTTATTTCGGAACTGTTGAGAATTCCAATGGCTGAAGATCGTTCCGTCCGTTTGTTTGGCGTCGTTATGCCAATGGTGACGGGGGGGGGGAGGCGACGACATGTGCTCCGTTATCTGCCGCCCTCGTTGCACCGCGGCCGAGAACACTGCCGCCAGATGCGTCAGCCGATAATGCACTCCGCTAACCTTTCGCTCACCCCGACGAGATAACGGCCGTCAGCTCGCCGGCGGGCCGCGCAGACGGTTGACCGTCGAGATTTCGCGCCTTCGACGACGTTCTTCTACACATCGGTGCTTGGGGACGTCGACTGTTCAGTTAACTAAATTTTCTCA